GCCAGGAGCCCCTAGTAGCGTCCTTGCTCCTAGTAGCGATGCCAGGAGCCCCTAGTAGCTTCTTGTTCCTTGGGCCTCTGGGTTGACCACATCTTTGAGCTCCACGGGGCACTGTGAGAGCAATGCCTAGGTACGAACGGGGCACTGGAAATATCATCACACACACACACCCGAGTTTGTGCATGACTATCCGATGTGATTCCCTTACATTGAAGCTATATATTGGTTCAACTGTTGGTTCAACTCATTCTTTTGGAAACTCGCAACTATTGCAATCTGTTGCACTTTGTAGGGGGCAGTGACATGATGCTATCTGGCCATATCTGGATCCATTTGGCAACCCGCATCTGTGCATGGGCTCAAGTGATCCTTGATTGACATATCATGCACACCCAATTGCATAATACATCCAACCAATTGAACCAACAATACCTAACAACATGGTATATGACTATATAATTCTGTTAGGGGGGTTGGCCTTGAAGTCTACTCTCTTCAGTCGCTATCCGGTGGTGTGGGATTGTCGTGCCTTTGGTCGATTTTGGTCGGTTGATATCGCTTGCAGGGGTTTCTCTTCAAGCCATAGTCACCGGGATGCCTTCACATGGGGTTGAATACAAAGTGCATACCAACAATGTCTCGATCCAATTGGCTAATCCTCTTCGTCTCTGCAACCTTTGACATAAATACCGCCCTTTCTGGGCAAAAAAACCATCGCAAGCCAAGGCTGCAACGTGGGACAGTTGCACTGCAAACTGCAAAAGAGGCTTCTTTGGATATCGTTTGCTCATTGAGATTGTCGTAGGAGACCCTGTAGTAAGACTGAAATCTTTAGCCTGAAACCACCTAGCATGGACAGTTTAGAGCAAACCTGTACCCTTTCCACACACACCTTGGTTCAAGCAAGATCCTAAAGTTTAAAGATCACGATTCTAACCCCAAACGCTAGCACAAGGATAGAATCGGCCCGTTTGAATTTATGGTGTGCTCATTGCAATCGCTTGACATATCCTAAGACTAACCACGGCGGGCCAATAGGCCCTGCCGACCAAGCTGGAGGAGAAACCCTTCTAGTCCCAGGGCATCAGCCCGTCAACCTACTCGTCCATTGGTCAAAGCTGGTCTAATGGGAACTCTTCTCTATGACTCCAAATCCACTGTGCCTATCAATTCCCGGTGCTCAAAACGCATATCGCAAGGATGGCCCCTACGTGTGGAAATGCCCGAAGAATGTGCAAGAGCCAGCTGCTTGGCATATTTTCTCCCTGCAGCTCAACAGCAGTAAGAGCAGCTGGCTGGGGTAATTAATTACCCCAGCAACCCTCCACGCATTGCTTGTCAGGATTTGGTTCGCCAAGAAGTGATCGCATTGAGATAGCCAATCCTTGGGCCGGAAGATTTTTCCCAATGGCAGTGTCTGCAACTGAGAGCGGTGCAAACAATAGTAAACCCGGGATATGTTGATGCTTCAATATCGATACTTATGGAACCTGATCAACTGTACACGATGTACATCCCGCCCATCCTCTGACTTCAAGCAAACCTGACAAACTACATGCGCTCAAACTTCAGCCAGTAGTCGTAGATGCGCGTTGGCACGTTTGGCCTAGAACTGCGCTGCGCACTCCATTCGGGTTGGTGAGCAAGAGCACGTTTTCCTGACACTGAAGAATCTGCAGGCAAAAATAACCCATCAATACGCCTTAGCCCAATTCACCGAGAGGTCTCCGACAATCCAACTAGTTGTACTATAGCATCCCCTGTGGAATTACTGGTGTAGCTTGGGACGCGACTTTATAGTGACGAAACGAAAAGCCAACCTCAAGCGCTAACATGTTTTTTGATCTCTATAGAATGAGGTGCCTCAAGGCATTGGCATTCATCATTCATCATCATGAAAAGTTGATAGCGAAAATTGGAAAAACAGTGGTGCTAAGCCACATTTGGCATTGATTCTATAAACAAATGTGGAAAATATGAAGGTTGAAATTGATTTTGGAAAACGCAGGACAAAAGTGGCTCAAGAGGTTTGGTTTTATTCTAGAGAGACATGTTTGGACAATGCAGTGTTGAAACTGATGTTAGAAAAATATTGGACAACTGGCCCAAGAGGTTGGTTTTGATTTCTCCTGAGCCAGTGTGCAAACCTTTAGTATAGTCGGGCCCCCGCTGACTCGCGGAATGATCTGTAAGATCTCTTCGTTCAACTCTTCGGCGGCGAGGCGGAAGGAAAAACAAAGAACGCCAATCGGTAGAAGTGTGACGTAGCAAGGCTAGAAAGAAACATGCGCAAACACATCCGCGAAAGCATGCGGCGGGGGGGCCGCGCGGTGTACTCAAAGACTGCGGGGATGGCCTTCCAGAGGACTTGGTGCACGCCATCTTCGAGGTGATCATGAACCCTGCAGGAGAGTTGGAGAGTTGGTTCGGAAGCCATGATATGAGCCAACGTTGGTCTCAGCCAAGCTACCACGGTGATGACCATCATTATACACTAGTCCCTTCGACATGAAAGGATCAATGGGCGCTGCTCAGGTCTTGTCCACTCTCGTCCACCGATATGCTTCGGCATTCCACACTGCCAGGGTAAAGTGGACGCTAGTTGTGTTTCGCCTGAGGTATACTAGCCACCGCTCAGTTTTGCAGCGGCCTGGAGAGAGCCTCGTGAAGATCAAGTTCTGTTCCGCGTGCAGCGCTTTCGCGATACCGGACAGCAGCTGCAGCTTTCTCCGCTCCAAACGGTTTTGTTGACACTCAGTGGCTCCTGACCCAGAGGCGATAATGAATGCCGCCCTACGCGGTTAATCCTGCCGCATCCTTGTTTTCCCCTCGCTGCGCGTATATTGTGGTCGGCACCACACGTCGCAAGAACTATAAGGGAGGTTGAGAAGTAAAGCAAGGGGTAAGACAAGTGAAAAGTGAAAAGGTTAAAGGAAAACAGCGTGAAACAAAAAGCATGCAATGTGAAACTCAATTGAGCCTCCGCTCAGATCATTTGGCTTCTTCCAACTTCTTCAAGCTTCAGTTGCCGCATCCTGACAACGCCCAGGAGTTCGTACCAAATAGTAGCACCAGAATCCCGTATCACCTGCGCCACCGGAAGGGTAAAACCCGGTGCGGCTCGACCCACCACTTGAAGAACGCCTACTCAGACCCTCCAAAGGATCTTCAAGAGTGGGAGATGACCCCGCAAAAACATGCGCTTGCACCCATTTGCTGAAGGAAATTGAGACACCGAAAATGCAAAAATTCTTGCAGCGGCGCTTTGTGCCAAAAAAAGAAAGCGTCCAAGGATCTGCCACGGCTCCAGATCAGCTAAGTGTGCAAGACAAAGTCAAAAATACCGGCGGCAGCTTGGTTTGCTCTGAATTGCCCAGAAGAGCGATGGGAACTCTCGGACCAAGCGGTAGGTTGGGGGGGGCCTGCGCATCGTCTGACGCAGTATCTCTTGCGCCCGAGCAGTCTTGTGTGAGAGCACCCCAGGTGGCTCCCCTCGTGCCTGCTGCTGGTCTTGGCTTGCTTCGTTTGTAGCTTCGTCGCTGTAATGAAGGATTTCGCACCAGCTACAGCTACATTGCTTTGGTGATGTCCTGCAAGAACTGATGAAGCACGGTGGACACAGGAATCGCAGGGAACCAGTCGCAGTGATGGACGCCATACAAAAAGAGGCGTTGGGAATCTGAAAACAGATTGGTATGGGCGTATCAACGCCAAATTTTGGCTGGGATTTACAGTACTACACCCGGTACAGGGCGATCACCCACTACACCAGCAGGACCATCAGCTCCCATGACACCAAGTGTCCGCGCACCACACACACACACACCAGCTCCCCGTGGACGAAAGCGCAAGGAAACGCAAGGCAGAAGAAGAACATCAGGCCTTCGGTCGAAAGACTGAGGCAGCAGTGGCCTCAGAAGGAGAAGAGAAAGAGACTAGTGATGACGAGAAAGCAGCACAATCAAATCAAGAAGATAGAGCAGGAGCTTGCAGGAGTTCGCGAAATCGGAGGAAGTGTGTGAGTTTGACCGACAAAACACCCGCTGCTGGAATTCAACAAGATTTTCAACGCGCTGAATGAAAGTTAGCATCTTGACTCTAAGACCGAAGCCGTCTTCTCACGCCAATTTCCCGGAGCCACACTGCCAGAGACAGAAGATTGCCGCAGATTGCCTATTTGCCAGGGAAACCATCGTGGGTCTTTTTTCGCGGCAAAGCTCGCCAAGGCATTTTGCCACAACACCTGGGCCCCAAGAAGCTGGAGTCCTTTTTTGGGACTCCTGCCGCTGGGGTAGCACTTGCTTCGAATCTTTGCAACTTGACCACTGCTTCCCAGGGGCCAGAACCTGGACTCACTACAAGAATAAAATCACATATCAAGCCTCAACAATTGCAAATGATATATCAACTTACCTGACCTCAAAACATACCATCCACTCTGAAATCTATTCTCAACCTTCTACTGCTCCAAATGCTTTCTAAATATAATCAAATATTTTGACCTCTATAAAATCTGGTGACATGTCGTGCCCTCTCTATAGAATGACATGTCAGCACCCATTTTGCGAGAACAAACTGACATTTTTTAATACCCATGTTTAATATGTGTTTTCTCAGGTAGGTTGATATTTTCTATAAGAAGATCGTCTATAAAATCTGAGGATCATTTCGAGCTCAAGCTCTCAGATTCTATAGCGTGTATTCGGCAGGGGATACTATAGTTATATATAATACTCAATCATCTGTGCTCTCGAGTCAGCTTGGTATCCAAAGAAACTCGCAGTGGCAGGCAAATGGGTAGCCATAGTAGTCCCATTGCTTGAGGATGTGCATCACAGCAGAAGCAGTGCCTTGGGTACGGTACCGTTGACCAATCTGAACGAGGAGATGGAGAGATGCCCTCAAAAATCCATTCATCGGCCAAGCTTCCATAGATTAGAAGCACCAAAGAAACCAAGAATTCTGCGCCCATAATGCACTGCTCCAAACCGCTAATCTTGACATCCTTGGACTCATCCATCTAAAATGAGTTATCGGACATCTCGAATTACAAGCACACTGCGCACAAAACAAGCAAAACAATGCGGCATGCTCTCAAGAGACAACCCTAGCAAGCTCAGCCTCAAAGTCTGCAAATTCGCGGTGAAAACTGTCTTTTTAATTGGCTGAGTGTCATTCGCTTGCGCACATAGCCTATAAAGAAGAATCGGTATAATGAAGGCAATCACCGGAGTCACAGTTGCCCCCAATAGGGTGACAAAATCTGAAAAGAAGGGTACAATTTGTGCTAAGAACCAGGAAGCTGCGACAACCACCATCACCTCATGTGCATGACTCATTTCAAAACAAGCTACAGAAACGCACATTCTTGTGGGTGGCTAGAAAAGGTACAAAACTGATAATCCAAGAAGGGTCCGGACAACACAGGACAAAAGCAGCCAGGCAGCTATGGCATACCACATTGTCCAAGTCTTTCCGCTAGAAATATATTCATTCTTCTCAAATTCTTGCAGTAAACCTCTGCAAAGCACCACATTCTTGATTACCTGGCAGGGTCACTTGACACTACCCGTTTAAACCAACAACATGACCATGAAGGGCTGAGGGTTGCAGGCGCTTGCTGCAAAAAGGAGTGTGATGGCCAACGGCAGCTAAAACAGGTTAGAGCATGGGACCTGAGCCTCTCCCATTCCAAACCCTTCCCCACATAGGTGATGAGCATGTGCCCCACAAGGCAAGCTGATGCAAGGCGTTCGCCAAAGCCGAATGGAAGTTCATTCACGATCATGCCCGCTGCTTCACTTCCTTGCGGCGCCAACAGGCTTTCAAATTGCCAATTCACTCCTGGTATAAATCGCACGGTGGTGATGGGCCTGCTGTAATTCAGCAGGTTTTCCTCGCCCAATTCTACTCAATCAGTCAAGTCGCCACGGAAGTAGTACACAGAAAGGCCGATGCCCAAGAAAGCAAGCGCTTGAAATGGAAGTGAATAGCCAAAGTACGCCTGCGAGGATTCGCTGGCATCTCCACTTCCCCGTTACACTGCTGATGGGTGTACACAACCAAGCCAAGCTTGCTTCCAGGCTCTTTTGCAGCTTTCTGCCAAAAAAGTCTTTGGATGCTAGTTTGGAGTTTTGACACTCGGCGCTAGAAGCTGACTTTCCTAGCTCAAACCAAGGGCTACACAATCTTGCTCTCCTTTGGAAACTCCTCCAAATCGTCCATTTCTGACATGATCTCGACGAGAATAAACCTTGAGCGGTCGAATTTGCACGCTGGGGGTGGCTGTGGAAGAATGAGGGCAAACTGGATGCTTCGGGTTGCGAGGAACTAGCAGCCATGCCCAGTTTTCCGACGACTTGCTGCCGTGCTGCTGGCCTGTGAACGCAAAGGCAAAGGTGCTAACCTCAGAGGAGATACTTTGACCAAAAGGCCATGAAGCCGTCCCAACCCAAGACGAGGCCGCGGCGGAAGTCACCAAAGAGGCCGGAGAGAGAGTGGAAGACACTGGTGCGAACTCACTGCCTACTGATCTGGTGACGGCAGCACCTATCATGTTTCCAAAGACATGGTCGCCGGCAGCTGGACAGCTAGGTCTAGGTAGTGGTAGTGCCAGAAAGCTTGCAGCACCGACTGAGCTAAAGCTGTCTATCTATCACAAGCACATGGGCACTAGACTTGACTGGCCGGATGAGGTGCTACTGAGGTTTTGCATGTGCAACGATGATATCCCTCGCCTTGGCTCATCAACCAGAGAATTGGGATCATCACCTGACATGGCAAAATCATTGCGTATTCAACTTCAAAGATGTGCCCAAGCAGCGAAGCAACTGCACGTAGGAGGGAACCATTGCAAATTCAGGGGCATGGCTCAAGAATGAAATGCCATCAACATCTAGTTAAACAAAGGAGATATATGATATATCTGTATATGTGTAAAGTAACTATATAGTAATTATATATATAATTACATAGCAGTCCGTCTGTGGGTTGCTGAATATTGTATGGTGAGCCACATGCACACCACCACCTAAGTGGTCAGCAACATTCTCGACAAGGGCTCGCAAGCTTTTTGTTCCTGTCTTTCCCCTTCATAGCTCAGGCGCTGTTCCCAAGGTACATAGGCAATTGAAGATCACTGAGCCAGCAAAGGAGCCCAAAAAGCGTGCAGAGAGGTTGATTGGAAGCAAAAGCGCGCAACCAAACAAAGTCATCAATGGCAGGCAGCCATGAAGATCGTAGAAAAACCTAGAGGGCTGCGAAGGCTGAGCACTGAGACCAATGAAACACAACAAGAATATACAAAAATGCCAAGAAGCATTCCAAGACCTTGACCAATGCTGAGGGTGTAGAGTCCCAAGGTGGAAAAGATGAATGAATACTGCCCGATGACCCTTAGCTCTTCTTAGCTCTTAGCTCTTCTGTGTGTGATCTCTGACCTTTCTTCTCACCTCTCCTCTCTGGCCCTTGGGGCGAAACGAGAAACCGGTGCTACTCCGTATACTGTCTTGTGACATGAAAACCCACACCCTCATTAAGAACCACTTGTTACTGGTGATTGGGTGTCAGAATTGTGTATTCGGTGTGGTACTGACTTTGGTTGGCTAGGAATCGATGTAAAGGCACAGAGTGCACTAGGTGTATGGGATTGCAAGGGTGGGCAGCTGAATTGCCAAGTCTCACTACCTTCCTCGCTACGCCCAGCATTTCCGGCTGCGCCTGCTGGACTGTCATGCAAGCGAGCTCCTTGTATGATTTCGCTGCCTGAGTTCACAAGTCGAGCTGCTCTCTTCTCACGACTCTTTGCAAGGCCAAGGAACTGGGTGAAACTTCTGAACCTTGGAGCCGACATGCCGTACACAAATCCGCACATGGTGACGCACAACAGCATCGATTGACGTGACGTTGAATATCAGGATACTATCAGCGATATTAAAATTCATGACAGCCAACAAAAATGGGACTTGGCATGTGGAGATGTGTGAAGTAGCGGAATAGTCTGTCAAGAAGCCCGCCACACCAGAATCATGATGTGAGCGTTCATGGCCTGTCATCATGGGCGAAAAGTCTCACGTATATTCTATTTCAATAGCACTGGAGAAGTGGATGTATGATCCCCTCCAAATGCGCAGTTTGGCTCTGCCAAGTAGCAAGCATGAGGCAAATGATGGGGATTGCCATTAGCCAGCCCAGTTTGGCAACAGCATTGCCTCAGGTTGGTCTGCAAGCCACCCATCAAACTACTAGAAGTCGTCCAGAACAACCACCATGTTAGTCTTGGAATGTCTTGGGAAAAAGACTCGATCAGTTCCCAGCCCATTGCAAGAACCCCGGCTCCGACAACATCTGCAATGAGTAGACCAGCCTCAGTAGTCAGAGCGACTGAAAACATCAATTTGCCGCCTGAAACACAGCGCGGTCTGAATCTGCTACCAGGTGGCTGTGAGGATAGCAGAGTTGCCACCACGCGGCTTCAAAAAGGAATCGTCGGACGGATACTCTGGGAACCTCATCCAAAAAGCAGTGTCGCACCTTCACCCACTATCTCACTCGTGTGCAGCTTCTGCTGTACCAAGTGCCTGCCTGCTGCTGGCAGCAGCCCCATAGTTCGCCTGTCAGGAATAGCAACAATTGCTCAGCCAAGTTCTGGGCAGTCTCTTCGACATAACATTGACATAGCCGGTGTCGTGCCACCCGCCTGCATTTCTGCCTCTAGTTCTGCATCGAATTGAACATTAGTGGGTTCACTAAGTGGATCAAGGACTAAACAGCTGCGGGCTTCGCAGCAAGGAGCTGCATCACCCCTCGAGCAAAAAGGTCGGCAACACCAAATAAAGAACACACCAAAACTCAAACAACATCTCTTGAGCCTCCAAAATCCTTGCCACATGTCGCGTATGCGGTATGCCTGTTTTTTGGGGGTGATGCTGTGCATGAGCCATTTGCACTTCCAGTGATTCTTGTGTCTATGTAGCAGCTATAAAATCCTATAAAACATTTTATTACAATTTTGCATACAATCATACAGTATGCATACAGTAACATTTCTACACCGTCTTCAGCCAAAATACATAGGTCCAGCAAAGGCTGCGCTGAAATTCCAGGTCATTGCTCCCCAGGACTTGCCCGGCAATGCCGGTGAGGTCGTCCAAATTGAACATGAAGAGAAGGCCCCAAGAGCCCAAGATCACCTCAATCCACGCTTGATTGTATGTCCACTGCCCGAGCATGCATCAGTCAGCCCCACATGGTCCGAAAGACACATCTTTGTAGTCCACGACAATGAGGTATAAACCCCAAGCCGCAAAAGTTTCATCTTGGGGATGTAGCAAATCCACCAAGCAGCATCTGTAGCACGCTCCATTCGCCAGAAGGACAAAGGCAAGGCCACAATGTTCCACAGCACCTGAGAGGACCCAAAACATCTAAACTGTGGGCCAGTGTGTGGCTTTAGCCTCACACGCAAAGCGCGCGCACAGTCACACAGTTTCTTCACTTTCACAAGGTTCATCGAGGTTCCAAATCACCCCTCTCACTTATAAAGAGTCTCACTTCATCAGCCTAGTAGTGGGACGGGGTCATGTAGAACCTGGACTCTACCATCAAAGCTCTCACCAACTCCAAGAGCCAAACACACCAGGCGTTGATGTAACCACCTATCACAGAAAAAGAACAGCGAAGCGGTAGTGGTCACTAAGCCACTAAGTCACTAAGCTTCCAGATGCTTCCAGCCTACTATGGACCAGAAAGAGGTGCAGCCAGCTAGGCGGCCATACTTCCACACATCCTGAGGGCTATGAGATCAGCAACATGCGCTTTGAAGGAATTGCAGAATTCGTTCAAGGATGCGGAAAAAGGTCATGTGTAAAATCTGTAAGACTAGGTCATCAACCTCCAGTTCAGAGGCGGCGTAGTTGAGGAGCTGTACCACGACGAAAAAAGAGAACATGACTCCCATCAAGATCGTGCACCAATCCTTCAAAAAGCAAAAACAAAAAAGGCGCGCGTTCAGCGTTGCCCGGAAAGTGTCGCTCCCTGATTTTCCATCTTGAATTAGCTCCCACTTCCTACCAGCATCATCAGTTTTGTCTGTCTGTCAAATTTAAGCTGAGAAGCTGATAGCGGTCGGTTTGGGCAAAGGATGCTGCTGACAGACAAGCGCTGCCAAGTTGATACAGGATCATGCAAATAGTTGGTATTCCCCTCAGGGCAATCGATTCCATCGCGGCCATTGCGCTAAACGTCGCATGGTTTGTCCTACAAGCCTCCCCTCTCACAAAGGTCAAACACATTGGTGCGTCGGCGTCGGGGGCCGTAAATGTGCTGCGCCGGTTGACCCAGTTGAACCCAGTTGATGGAAGTGTGGTAGTGGCAGTGGTAGTGGTAGTAGCAGGGGTAGGTAGGGGTAGTGGTAGTGAAGTAGGGGAGCAGTACAGTAGTAGTAGCGGCGGTGGTGGCGGTGGTGGTGGTCGCCGTCGTCGTCGTCGTCGTCGTCGTCCTAGCAGCAGCAGCAGCAGCAGCAGTACTAGTCGTCGTGGTGGTGGTGGCGGTGGTGGTTCGTCGGGGTCAACTGAACCGGGTCCTGAGATTTAGCGTGGCCACCTGGGTGGTCGCAATGAACACATTGGAAAGGGCAAAGACATGCAAAAACATTCACTGCCATCCAGCCTCCCATAGGCCCAGGACCACCAGAACTGGCCCAATGGTTTGCACCAGCGCTACCTGGCGGTTGGGTCTTGGTCAGATCTTCAAGAAAAGCTGAAGAAGCTTTTTGATGCACAGATTCAACACTTCTGAAGGTCACTCCAAAAAAAGAAACTATTGCTGCAAGTCCTGACCTGTCATTTATGTGAGTCCTGAGTCCTGAGATGTCCTGACTCCTGACATGCAGGGCTGACAATCCAACCAACCAGTTGGGCACTCCACCATGACTCCCATGAGGACGGTGTCAGTGGAGCTACGATTGGCCAGCCACCCACTTTTTCCGCCTCGGTGCGTTGATGGAACGGTTTCCTGTTACCAGCACGTAGAAGCTGGACCAGCCGCTCAAAGAACCAAAGATGCTTGCATGCGCGGTTATTTGTCAATGTGCTTTTAGATCCTTTCCCCTCTGCAAGAACAGACCACATGGTGAAGCAAGAGCACGAGAAACTCCTCCAAGACAGGAAAGCCATCGGTCTGCAGAACCTGGTCGTCCCAGCCCAGCTCTGTATCCTACAAGGACTGGTGTGACTCGGCATCGCCAAGGAAAAACACACATCTTGCTGCATGGCTTGGACAAACAAAGCTCTGGGCGTGTCCTGTGGGGGCTGTGAAATCATGCAGTTCGAATGTTTCTGAACTACTCTCTGAACAAGAAGTTTGCTTCACAGTTTCCCAAATCTTTTCCCGCAAGTCCTTCTGGGTCTTTCCAAGAGCGAGGCCCACCTCCCAGGCACAACAAAAGGATTCAGTTTCACAAAAAGAGAGTTTCGCAGAACTACCATCCTCTACCCATGATCGGCGCCTTGGTTGTCTTCAGAGCCTGGAGTAGCAAGTCGCAACGTTCTTCTAAAGAGCGGTCTCGCCCCAGAAGCTCCGCGCGCTCCTGGGGCAAGCCGACAGGCGGTGTTCACCCTCTTGGGGCTGGTTCGATGCTGATTTGCACCCGGCTCTTCATGGACTCACGACTTGCACGGGGTCTGAGAATCAAGTCGTTGCATGCGATCACAATTGTAAAAACCGGTTCTGATTTTGGGGTTCCATGTCCTCCCGCACATTTAAGATGTTACCACTTTGTCGCAAATGTCCTCTGCCACGTCTCGCAGCTGGGATTGCAGGTCGGCACAGTGGGCCAGTCTCATCTGCACATAATATGTGATCACGAGAGTTTGACCGCTGCAACTTAAGCCACTAAACTAGTGTTTTAAGGTGATTTCTAAACATGTCAGACCTTGTCAAACCTTGTGAAAGCACACTTGAACAAGTCTTGAACACAAACGTTGGGTAACGCTACTGAAGCTGTCAGCCTGGCTGTCAGCAGACAAGCACAAACGTGAGCGACTTCGCTGGGTGGCCTGGTGCAAGCCATTGAGCCGATAGATATTCCCTGCAGGCGCCAAATGGCTCCACACATTCGCAAGGTCGAAGTGGCCCCTGCCCAAGGTGCTTGGCCATGCTCCGTGTGGCTCAAGAATCAAGGTGTCAAGTGAGTGCACGTTTGAAGGGCTGGGAGGTTTCTCAACGACCAAGTCACAAATGACGTGAATATATATGTCTATAATATTCTATAATACTACATAATGGGTGCACAATGGCACATATAATCACATGATTATTCAATTCATATCAAGGACATATAATTAATCTATTTATTGGCTCCAACCCAATTTCTCGATCCAAAGTTGGAAAAACAGCTGGCTCTGACCTGGCTTCTTCGACTTCGTCCAAGACATCCTTATCACCAAATCTTTTGGCTGCTTCAGCCGTGCTCTGAGCACATCCCAGCAAGACAAGCACAACACTGCTCGCATAATCACATATTCATCACCATGCCAATGGGCCATGGCGCACACCTCAAGCAGGCTGGAAGCATCTCCGCCGTCTTAGGCTTGCCGAGCATCTTTGTACATCAAGTGGAACGGGTGTCTGTTCTGGAAGTGCCTACAGTTCCATCATTGAAAGGCTAAACCCTCCGGCCAAACGTTGCCATACTGTAAAATAATCAATACAAGGTCACGGACTTAAGGCCAAAAGAAAAGCCAACAACAAAGGTAGTTCACTGGCAGGTGCAAATGCGACAGAAGTCTCTCCAGGGCAGTTGACCACCCGTCTCTAAGCCAAGTGGCGTCTCTAAAGCACTAGCCTTTTGGATTGACTTCGCCAACTTCATCGGGTATCCGCCGCTGGATTGTTTATAAATATGATACGGAGAAGACTGCCTCACATGGCATTGGCAAACACAAACCCAGTATCAGGATACACCAGGAATATCAGAGTTGTTTTGCCCCTGGGGGCATGCAGGGGAAGGAAATTGTCTGGCAAAGTGTGAAGCCCACAAGGCACTTGTTGCGGCACCTCCAGCAAAATGGAGCACAGAGAAGGCCTAGAACTTGCTATAGAACTTACTTGAGCCGAAAAGCACATGTCTCCAGAGACTGTTGAGCCTCGAAAAGTCTTGCTTGAAGGCCTGAGGAAGAGACTTGCGGTAACTGCATGCCGCCAGATCCAGTCACCAGCAGTGCCTGTCACCTTTCGCTCTCTTTTCAAGCGAGAAATGCCAAAATACGAGAGTGTGGTACACCGCCACGCTGCAGGTCTCGACAAAGACCAGCGCAAGTGCACCCTGACCCCTCCAGGATGGTATGGGCTGCTCATATGAACACATTGCCACCTGCCTCCCTAGTCACAGACTCGCTGCAAATATAATGCCAAAACATCCTACCCATCCTCCTCCATAGTCAGTGAGTGCAATTTTGGAGTGCTAGTAAGCGAAGCTCCCTCACTGGATCATAATGTAGGGTGTCGGTGGCACTGCTCCCGAGCCATCCTCTTCTGCCCACTCACGTGCCTGAGGTCAAGTCAAATCACATTGCTTCAAGTACAGAACTCTTCTGAGATCAACTTCAAATCCTTGCCCTGAGTGTTCAGTTAAACTTAATGGTTCAATGTTCCCGTCACGCCTGGGTAGCCTTGTAGACGGGCTTGGAGCAGAAGCACTCGTAGAAAGCTCCGAAGACAGTCATGGCGACACCGAGGAGGAACCAAAACCAGCACAGGGCCTTGCTTGTCGAGCGAGCGAGCAAAGCGGCCAGGAATCTGCAAAACAGATTCGAAGCTGCAAGACCAAGCGGCGTAGTACCACTGGTAGCAGAACCAGCCAAAGAAGACTGGCAACGCGGTGAAGACGCCTGGTCATGCAGAAGCAAAATATGTATATTATATATATACATATAATAAACATACACACAAATATGACCATACTTGGTCTGTACACATGTGTGATCGCAACATCTTTGACACCACATGACACCACCAAAGTCCGCCCAGGGTCAAGGGACCGGAATACAATGTGACAAAATCACCCTAAAAACAACAACTGCATCAATATGAGTACTATTGAAAATGACATGAAATTACTCGATAGGGTGCTCGAAGATTCTCTTTGATGACTTTGCAGCTCTCTGAAACTTGTGGCCCGGAGGGGGGTGGCGAAAGCTAGGCAAGTAAACAACGCTGGGGCTCTTTAGGCAGCAAAAGCCAGGCCGGGAATCGCAACATGCCATGGCCAAGGGAAAAGGAGAGTGCCAACAGCGCCCCCCCAATACGACCCCAACACAGCCAACACATGGCAACACACAACCACCCCAGCAACCGCCGCAGCAGCAGCAGCAGCAGGAGTAGCTAGCAAGCAGCAGCACCAGCTACCAAGCAGCAGCAGCAGCAGCAGGAGCAGCTACCAAGCAGCAGCAGCAGCTACCAAGCAGCAGCAGCAGCTACCAAGCAGCAGCAGCAACAGCTACCAAGCAACAGCAGCAGCAGCAGCAGCAGCAGCTACCAAGCAGCAGCAGCAGCAGCAGCAGCAGCTACCAAGCAACAGCAGCATCAGCTACCAAGCAGCAGCCGCAGTAGCAGCAGCGGCAGCAGCTACCAAGCAGCAGCAGCTACCAAGCAGCAGCAGCATCAGCAGCAGCAGCAGCCAAGCAGCAGCAGCAGCAGCCAAAGCAGCCAAGCAGCAGCAGCAGCCAAGCAGCCAAGCAGCAGCAGCAGCAGCAAGCAGCCGAGCAGCAACAGCCAAGCAGCAGCAGCCAAGCAGCAGCAGCAGCGCAGCAGCAGCAAAGCAGCAGCAAAGCAGCAGCAAAGAAGCAGCAGCAAAGCAGCAGCAGCAGCAGCAGTGTTGCGTTGCAACAAGTGCAGCAACCCTGAACCGCATGAATGGCATCAACCGTACCATGACACGAGTTGGGGCAGCGTGACAATAGTATAGTTAATATAAGATGCACAAAGGGAAAACTCAACTACTGCCATGCTTCCACCAAACATCACCAAACTCTTCATCACCCGCTTCCCCCACCGAACTCTTCGCTCATGCCCCAACACGTCAGCAGCAACCAGCGGCAAGCAGCCAAAGGCAATCAGCAGCACCAAGCATGCAAGCAGCAAGAGACCAAGCAGCAGCAAGTACTGAGGAGAAGGGTGGAGTTGAACCCGCGGGGGGGGGGGTTAAAGCCTGATAAATCAGGTATCTGCACTCAGGTCCTCGGCTCCCACCCTCCTTGCTAAAGCAAGACAGACTCCAGCTAGCTACAGCTAGCTTTCGTGAACAGGCGCCTGCCGCCAGCATGATCACGATTCCACCCAAGAGACCCGTCAGGCCCCACTCGCAGTGGCAATTGATTCCGGCAAGTCCTGGCACGCGTTGGATGTGTTCGGCACCAAATGCGACAGTATGGCATCGGTATGGCCAACAATGATCAAGCCACACTTACCTCCTGAAATTTATCAACACTTTACTGACCTACTGTCAACGGTGTCATGTTTTGACAGCAATGAACTTGGATATGGCAGCATCTGGAATCATCTTGAATCCCCTGGCACCCGAATTCACCCTTTCCAACCTCCCAAAGCCATGGCGTCACAGAAAGCTGGGGCAGTCGGGCAGTCTGGATTGAAACCAAAAAGCTTGCTGCAGTTGTCGTTGGCATGAACATGCGTGCTGCTGTCTTTTTCATTGTTTTGGCACGCCATGTGCGGCCGTTTTCACCACCTCCACCTCCAAACATGCGGCTCCAAAAAGAGTCCACTCAGCACAATCTATTTGTTCCATTCTCTCTTTGGTTCTGGTGTTTGGGAATGGAAGTGCTAGGCACTGAGTCTGTCCCTCCCTCTCTCTCTCTCTCTCTCTCTCTCTTTCTCTCTCAAGTTGGCACACTGGATGGTCCGAACCTCCTTGTCCATGGGCAACCAAATGACCCCACTTACTCTGGAATACTCTAGACGCAGTTTTTGAATCATTCTCTTGGCCGGGTCAGGGCAAGGACGTAGCGCAGGCAGTCGCTGAGCACCTTGGTCAGAATGGAGCTGATATGAGCTGATGAAGACATGATTATACAATAACAATAACATCGGCCGTCGGTCGTGGAAGGCGTTGGATGATGTTTGCGTGTTCATCTTTGGCAACTTTGGCGTGGTCTTCGGCGTGCTTTTCCTTTGGCACTTGTCTGATGAACGAGGTGCGTGGACCAACCAAGTGGGGCACCGTGCATTGGAAAGGCTGGTGAAAGGCCACGACACCACTTCGAGTAAATTGTGAAAATCAAGTTCCCGAGCGGGGCGGACTAGCTATCATTAGCAGGTTGCTTCTTTTCAGATTGGGACCTGTGGTTTGGATTTTGCCTTTGGAGGGGTTGGGCACCTCAAACTCTTCTTGTTGTTGCTTGACCTCTCAGAACTCCATGCTGCTGGGACACCAATTTGTACCAATGCACTCATCGCACTGGGGCGCAAGGTGGCATACAAACTCCTACATCTTGCAGGGCATGAAAACAAGTTCCAACATGATCACCCAAAAAAAAGATCTTCGCAGCTCTTGGCAAGTGTCACAGTGTAGCCAAGAAACAACACAGGCGAACATGCTCCGAAAAGAACATCGATAGGAAAGGCTGGTGGAACAACTGTTGTTGATAGCGCCCGGAATGGGACTATATACGCATGGAATGTCCTCATCTCTGCATGTGACAGGGCAACCATCTGAAGTTGCAACGCAAAACTGAGTTCCATTCTCAGCTAAACAGCCCATCTCCTCAGCACAATCGCCGCATTCAGAACGCCAAAGTGGAATTTGGTGAGTCATCCGTTTCAAAACATGAGAGATCCAAGCCCCTGTGAATTCACCCTGACCCTTGGGGGTGGTCATTGTAATGTTGGATCACGATTAGTAAACCGGTCCGCAACAATGCTAAAATTTTCCAAAATCATTCAGGACCCCCTGTTTGAAAAAGTGGTCCTGAATAATGCTAATTTTTTGGGGGGGGCCCTAAATTTGTTACATTGGAAACCTAATTAATAAGGGTTTGAATTCCTTCTGAGGCCAATGATTATGATTCATTGGCTGATATAGCTTTCTCTAGGTTTCTTCAAAACTGACAGCTGACCAAAACCACCAATTCCTAATTGAACCCTTTATAAAACATTGCTCCTAAACAAATTTTCAAGGTAGTAGACCAGGAAGGCACCTGATCCTCAATAATAGATTTGTTGTTGGGTTCTCAATTGTGAAAAGTTTTTTCCACTGGAAAAAATGCTCATGGAATCTTCCTTTCTTTTGCTCCTGAGGCCAATGATTATGATTCATTAGCTGATATAGCTTTCTCTAGGTTTCTTCAAAACTGACAGCTGACCAAAACCACCAATTCCTAATTAAACCCTTTATACAACATTGCTCCTAAACAAATTTTCAAGGTAGTAGACCAGGAAGGCACCTGATCCTCAATAATAGATTTGTTGTTGGGTTCTCAATTGTGAAAAGTTTTTTCCACTGGAAAAAAATGCTCATGTAATATTCCTTTCCTTAGCTCCTGAGGCCAATGATTATGATTCATTAGCTGATATAGTTTTCTCTAGGTTTCTTCAAAACTGACAGCTTTCTCACAGGAATTCTCACAGGAATCCAGATTTGTTTTGGTGGTAGTTTATTATAGAGGATCCCCCATTTGTTTGAGGGGGGGACCCCCCTTTACTAATCAGGATCCAACATTATAGATCTAAATTGCGACCCCCAGGGTTCTATAAAATCTGGACACCCCGGGTAGAAACAAAAGGCTTCAGAACATAGAATCGCACACCCCAGGGTTGCAATCTGGACCTAATGAGACATGCCGCCCCCCCAGGCGGCCCACTATAGAATCGCTCACCCTAATGGCAATATCAGATCGATATAGTTGATACCATAGAACAGGTGGCCTCATTCTATAGTGGACACCCCAGGGTTCCCCGATCAAGCGACCAACGGACTCCGATGCTCTCCAACACTTACTCCTCAGGTGCCATCCGTAGAAGCAGGGTTCCAAAGGAAAAGGATTCATTTTCTATCATTTGCTCCACGGCATCGCGTGCTGGAGTTTGTTGAGCTGGCGTTTCAACATGTTTTTTCCATGACCAACGTGTTCAAAATAATGCTCCTTCTGATTCTAAGTGGTCTTTAATGTTCTTACTTCTCTCTCAGCCCAACATCTTGCTACCCACACACACATAATCACACACACTCACATCCATGGATGATTCTCTATAAAATCAAGCATCGTCGATAATTCTCTACAAAATGGTCTCTATAAAATCAAGCTACCCAGGGTTACATTCTTCGAGCATAAGAGCAATCATCAAAATCCACTCCTCTGTCAAGTCCATGCACCAGGGTTCACTTTGTCCAACAATGGTGGTTTCTATAGAATGACCACCCGCAAGGGTGGTCATTCTGTAGAGAACCTCGTGGCAAGCATGAATTCCACCCTCAAATCCACATCGCTGTTTCGACGTCCGGACAACTCAGATCGAACACGGAAAACTCCACAAAGAACCTCTTTGGATATGTGAAGGAGTGCCGCAAACAAGGAGAAAACCATGCCCAAACTTCTTCGAGCAAAGTTGGAATAGTCCCTGGAATAGTTGAAATAAAAAGAAATAACTAGTTGGGGTAGTGTCTCATCACGCCTCCAAAAAGCAGTCAGCACAACCGAATGCTGGCGTGGGGCGGTTGCATTGCAAACCAAAGGGCATGCCTCCTTGGAGCACCAATGCATGCCCACACAGCCTGCCACAAACAGCATCGAACCGGAGGAGCTACTGGGAATCATCAATGCTTTAAACTTAAATCAGCAATTCTGAAGCATTCTCACTTCTGAATTGCTGTTGCGTTTTGCCAAGCATTCCTCGTTCATCCTTTTTTCTATCTGTTTTGCTCCCTGGACCTGCCTTCGCAAGCTGGTGGAGTGAAACACTTATGTTGATCGTCTTTGCATTCCACTGGGCAGCCATCCTTCTTTGGCCGACATTGGAAGTGTCCTTAAATGACACGGGGCATGCAAGCTCGTCGTGTGCTCCATGCCACTGCGCGATGCGCAAAAACGGCGGTGCCATGCCCATGCGCCAAAACATCACGAACGCAACATCACTCGATATAAGTTGCTTCTTGACAAGTAGCTATGTTTTTTGTCATGCTCTGACTCCTTACCATCCTTATCATCCTCCGGCTCTGGAGCGCAGGTAATCTCATCTTCATCACAGGTAGTTGGACATGGATCCACTGAGCACCAATTCACCTGGATAGCAACAAGGTGGAAGCAAGGGCCAGAAAATGAGCGAGATATATAACCTTCAGCAGCATCTTATAAGCTGCAAACATTTGTGCCATGATTCTGGTGCCAAGGCACTCCAACACAACCGTCGCAAGCGGGAACGCTATGGCAGGCCTTCATGAAACGAAATGGAACTGCTCACACAATGCAGGACACAAGGCTAAATAGGTAGTCTTGAGAAGAAAGGGCGGAAGATTGTCGGCTAGTGCATGGTCCAAATTGGTGTGGCTTGGCATTCTCTGCAGGTGAATCAATCATCGTTGAGATCAGGGAAGCATGTAACCGCGAAGTTGCCCTCACAGCAATTCCTAAATGAAAAGCAACTCCGGATAGCTAAAGCCACTAGAAAGCTTTGTCCTGAATGCTGGTAGGAGTCGGAGTGCAGGAGGTCGCCTGAAAAAATATCCACCTGAACTCCCTTTTCAAGCCAGGATGCATGCCCCCCCATGGTGGCTGCAATCTACTGGACAACCATCTGACTTGTTGAAGCAGGTGTAGACCTGAGACAAGCAGGTCCGAGTCCGAATCAACCTTTTTGTCTACTTGTCTACAAAGCCAATGCTAAATCCCCAACGGCATTCACTGTTATGCGAAGAATTTCTGCATGTGAGGTGGCTGGGGCCGTTACAACTGTTGGCCAAAAGGTCACAAGAATAGTGTGATGTCACTCTACTCTGAGCTCGGGGCATGGTTTTCATCTGCGCAGGCGACTTGGTCACTTGTGCAATTTGGCTGGCATGGCGCTGTAGAGCACCAATTGGTGCCATAACCACCCTGACCAAAGCAAAGCAACAAGCAAGTCATTTGGCTGGATCTCTGCATGCATGTGCCCAATCAACTGCCAATAAAGGAGCGCCGTTATGGTCTGATGAGTTCAACTTCCTAGAGCCGCTCGATGTCATACACCGGGAACCAACCCTTGGCAAGGTCTGGTGCCTTAATGTGATGACAATATGCCCATTGCACACAGGCCTCGTGCTGAGGTGGCAAATGACAGGCGAACTCGTCATCATGGCACTTCACCGGGCAGCCATCTTCCTGAGCGTGTGACAACCATAAGCACTGAAATGAAGGACTCCAAAAGAACGCACATGTCACATGTCACAATCTGCTTGCTGCACAATATGTTGCTGTATGTTTCTGTACATCTGCTCCACACTGGACTGTGAAACGAACTGAGACGTATTTCGGCGTCTCCCAAAAATTGCCGCCTAGGATCTCTCTCAGCACAAGTGCCACTCCCATCCTCCTGTTAACACAAACACTCAGGACTTAGGAGGGCATCAGCTTGTGGTGAACATGCTTGAAGCATCTGCAGTCTTAAATTCTTGCCCATCCAGGCACAAGACAAAGATCAACATCAGGGTGTCAATGGACGTTGTTCATACTTGTTCATCCTTGCGATGGCCGACTCTTCCCCCGGTCCAAATACATAGGCTGACTCTGCTGTTCTCAAGCCTGTTCTCCTCAAGATTCCAATTTTCACGGTCTCTCCTTCATGCAGGCCAACTGCGTGTCGTTGCAAACAGTCGGGCACGGCTCATTGGAACACCAGTTCATTCCCTGGTAGTGTGGTTCTAGTGGTGGCCAGTGGCAGGACTCCTCCTGAGAGCAGCAAGTCTCTCTTTGCTCTGGGCTGCAAGCACCACCGGAATCCCTGTGAACCTGTATGGTGAATGATGCAATGATGTTTATGATTTACGCTAGTTACTTGGACGATACACCAGTGCGTGAACAGTATTCACCGGAGGCATCTCAATGGCAAGCAAGCTCGTTACAAATGGCAAACATCATGTGATCAACAAGGTAGAAAGGACAGGACAAGCAAAACGAAGTGGGCTCACTGCAAAAAAGGTTGTGGAACATTGAAACACCATCAAACCTCTTGAAGACGTCCTTCTCGTGACAATGCACAGGGCACCCCTCAGAGCGATTGACGCAAAAGTTGCTGCCATTCAGCCTGACGGTACAGGTCCACAAATCCCAGCAGCTAAGCACAGTCAAGTTTAAACTTGACCAATGAACCTTAAAGTGCTGAAGCCAGGCAGACACCATAGCCCCATAGCTATGTCTTTCTTGAATTTTGTTTCTTCGAATTCTTCGAGTGTCTCTTCGAATTGCGCCACACTCGGTGGCCCCACCTGCTGCATGAAACCTCCTTGTGGCCACAAAGCTCTGGGCAAGGAGCCTCACTGACTAATGTACCGAGATTCTGTGATGTTGACAGTGTGAATGAAGGAGAATCACCCGATAACTCTTCAATGGTTCAACGATTTTGCATCCATGCTTCTGCCGAGCACCAATTTAAGCCCGTGCAGTTGTCGCACTTGGGTGGTGCATGGCAGGCATTCCTGAGCCGCAAACGCACTCTGTCCTAGCAAAAGTGACCGCCCACGTGGAAGGAACCTGGACCTTGAAGCAGCTGTAGTGCAACACTTTTACTATGTGCTGGACCTCAAGGCAAGCTCGGCTTCTTCTTGAATCTATAAGACAGGGCCAGGAACGTGTGCAATATTGCTGTATGATTGAAGATGTCTGTATGCAACAGTCTTCTCCTTCCCTTAGGAATGCGTTCAACAACCTGTGGAATGGAAGAAATCCGAGCCAACAACTGCATTGCATGCTTCCCCTGTGTTGATTGATGACTTGCCAAAAAAAACTGTCCCATGTTGTTTTGCAGTGACATGTTCCATGCTCCCTACTCGTTCACATCCAAAACCTTCATTCACCTCCACCCTCTGCACAGCTCTCTGTGCAAGTGGCATCGACTTCGTGCAATTCACGGGACAGCCCAGCTCCTGGGCATAAACATCACACCAGAGAAACTCTCAGCAGACCGTCTTGTTTCTACCCAGACTGAGACAGCTCATCCCAAGATATCCCAACATAACAGTTCATTATATAAGTTTGGGCTAGCGGCTAGAATGATTCCAAACTTATGTTCAATTGTTCTTTAAGTCACTCCGGCTGTCCACACACATATGTTGGGGATTCCAAACCATTACAGCAAATGGCTCTATCGTATACAGCATATCTATTTTGGCCCAAGCAAAGCTTACTGCAAACATGGACATGAGACTCATTAATTTGTACGTGTTTAACGGGGATCATGACCAAGAATACCCATGTGATTCTATGAGTTCAAATTGGTTCCAACCCAATGAATTCAAGCACCACCCAAGTTCAATTCCTCCTCAAATATGATTGCCGAGTATGTTGGTAGTGGGGCCCAGTGTGAAGCGATGGTGGCTGACAAACACCCCATGGCTGACAAACCACCTCACAGGACACTGCCCTCAAAACTTATCCATCACAAGAATTTTCTGGCCATACACCTAACTATGAGCAAAACAGTAAAGCCAACAAATGCAATGATACAATACTCATGGTTCCTGTTCGCTGTAACGACTAGTCAGGGCTACAGCTACAGGGTTTTACGCACCGTTCCATGGCATGACTCAGCGTTCCTTCGGCGCGCAGAACTCGACGCCATCATTGGTACCACAGGCCACTTCCGTCTCATTGCACCCAGGTGGGCACGGGGCAGAAGAGCAATAATTGACACCGGCCTGGACGAACAAAAGGGCGCCCAATGAAGGACCCAGTCGGCACAAACCAACCATCCAATTCAGGATCTGATCGATCAACTCCTCATAAGAGATCATAAGAGCCTATTGTCACATGTCTGTCAGTCCATCTACCCGAATCTACCTAGGCCACGCCAACTCCAGTGAGCTCCCGCCTCCCCAGCACTCACACCAGGTCTGTGACATTCATACTCATCCTTGTGGCACTTTGCCGGGCATCCGGTGTCAAAAGGCACGCAGTAACTCCCAGAAGCTCCCGAGCAAGAGATCTCGTGATCCTGCCGAGTCTCTGTGGATCTCGCACCCAGGCTGGATCTTATGGTGTACTTTTTGGACGTTTCACGTTTTTCAATGAAGCGGTACACGACGTGAGCACTTATTGAAAGAACCATCAGCCAGGCCTTGCAGCTAGCTGGACATGGGGCGGAGGAGCACCAATTCACAGCGGTGCAGCCAGTGCAGCTGGCAGGAGTGTGGCACTGAAAATCCTTGGTGACACGTAGTAGTGTTGGACACTTTAATCAACACAGTAGTCTGATCTATATCATCTAATGAACTTCCAGTGCAAATGCCCGCATCCAGCTTTCTAAACAGGTCATACTGTTCGTAGGATTCGTGTGGCAACACTCATTCTGATCTGAGAGTCCACGTCTGCGCAATGCACTGGGCAGCCCATCTCTTTCAAGGCACACCAGGGCTCCGTATGATCTCCGGCCGCATCGCACAGCAACTGATCATAGCCGCACACCTGGTACAGCAGGGGGAAGATGTTGGACACGTCGTATGGAACACGATCTGATACCATACAAACTGCTTAGTGTAACATCATGTGTGAACTTATGCCATAGAGCGGGAGCAACACGAGAAAATGCATGGTTGGCTCTTCCTCTTCAAAGCAGTCGTGCATTTTCCAAAACTACTCAACAATCGTTCTCTCTCGCTCTCTCTGTATTTACTTGAGCAGCATGTTTAGCCTCATGTCTGTGCATCAAAGCAGCTATGGGACAGGGTTGCTCTGAGCAATAGTTCACCGCTGAGCACTCTTCGCACAAGGGCGGCGTGGTACAAAGGTGTTCACCACTGCCACAGGTGACGGGGCATCCGTCAAGCCGTGGAGCACAGGTATAGTCCCAAGGGAAGATGCCATAAAATGAGCCTTTACATAGTACCTCTGTCTCGTTGCAGGAGCCTTGCTGCCCATGCTCCTTAGTCTTCTTGTGTATATACATGTATATAGATGATGGATGTGTATAGATCGCGTTTGTTCCAACAGGCTAGAAACAGCAAATAGTCAGCTCTCTCTGTGGGTGGTGGAATTATGACCATACATTGTGCACATGAATTTGACAAGATACACTTACACAGACTTACACATTGAACACACACACACACAACAGGATGGAACTACGCCAAACAGCATCTGGCTGTCCTTGACGGATCATTTTTTTGGAAAATCAAATTCCAAACTTCTAAGCAATGACATGTCACAATGTGATGCTGGGTTTGCAGCACGGAAACGCCCTTTACAGCGGCTGGTTCAGCTTCGCTTAGCCAGCTTGATTGCTTTGCGCCGCAAGCATCGTTGACCAGGGCAGCACAAAGGTAGCAAAGCACATGTTTAGTCAGTGAGCGGTACATCATGTTGACGGGTAAGATGCTGAGCCAACAAACGTTTGCGGAAGTACAGCGTGCTCAAGACATGGCCCGCGGCCCGCAATTGATGGGCAAACACGCACACATCTCAGAACATCCAAAAGTACATTTACGATACATTTTTGCCGCCATGTCCAACTCCAACGAATGCCCTTGCAAACCTGCTTGACAGCCTGAAAGCGCTGGCTTTTCCCACTTGAAGCGCGATCCTCCCATTGGAGAAGCTTCGTGACCTCATCGTTGCAAGCATTATAACGAGACAGCAACCCAGGGAAAGGAATGGCCAAATATAAGCAATGAACCAAGCAATGAGTAATGTATGGCCAACTTATTCAAGGATTGCCAAAATATAGTTAACCTCTATGTCATTGTCGCATGGGCATGCACAAAACTTCCGACAAAAGCAATTCGTGGTGTCTTCTTTACACGGTGAAGGATGCTGAAACCAATGTGATTCTCACCAAGTCATTCCTACAACTTACAATTGTGGAAGCAAGCATTCGGCATCGGTGGCTGGGTTCCTCATCTTCAGTCGGAACAGGTGGATAAAAACGCCGACATCTCCATGCAAAGAGCTGCTGTGTTGTGTCTTGATGCACTTGGGCATCGGGAAGGAGAACTTGCCAAAAGCACTGGCATGAGCGACTGGTTGCAGCTGCTTAGTTAAATCATAGCATGCGTCTTGAATCAAAAATGCTCAGATATCCTTTGTTGGTTTCCCACTGCTTTGCTTCTCATTTGGTCTGTTTTTTTATTGAAACCTTGATTTGCCTTCGCTATCCTTTGTTCGTGCTTTTGCCTGCTTCCCTAGCTGTTGTTTTGTTTGACAAAGGGAACGTGTTTTTACAGAGGGGGCCAACTAATTCAACTTGTAGACAGATCTCACCCCAGCTGTACTCATAGACTCGCTGCGGCTAGGAGAGATGCATGAGAAGACAGAAACAGCAGCTCCTTTCATGAGGCCCCAACGGTCAAAAGCAAAGGCTCTGCTGAGGTTGACAAATCCTCTGCAGGGTTGGCGACTTTCAAGAGCCTTGGACTGCCAAGGCCAACGCACTCCCACATGCAGCGTCCCCGTCAATTTTCCACCGCGGAACTGATTACAATAGCTAAACTGAACAATATCTTCACTAGCGATTGTTCTCATCTGCTCCGTTTGCTTGTTCACCGTTTGTATCACCATTTGTACTTGCACGTGTTTCTCTCATTCCGTCAGCCAAACGCAATCCAAGATGCAACAAACGATCAAGCTCCCGTCGCAGCTCTTTGAAAAGGACCGCTGCCTTTTCGTCCTGGAGAAGCGCGGTCTTCAACCATAGTTGCATGAGTTGCGTGATGTCATTATGTCATTGGAAGCTGGCCAAAGCCAAAGCAACAGCCCCTCCCAACAAACAGTGATGCACCCTCAAATCTGGCTTGCCCAGACTTTGCCAAACATGCTGTCCTTTTGGGTCTGGGCCAGTTCAATGGACACTTTTGCACGCCAAGAGTACTGTGCATGTGTGTCATTTGCTGCTTGTCCATTCGGCCAAATGCATTCATGCAACAGCACTCAAAATAAGTGGTCCTTGGCTTCGAAAATCATGCCGTCCACTGTGACACATTTCCGCTCCTCAGTGCGGCACCAGGAATACAGGGCGAGACTTAAGGCATTCAAATACAAATTCAGATGTACTAAGAGGCAGTCTGTAGAGATCTCTCTACAGTAAAAAAGCCATTAGTGTATACAATGTGCACTATTACTTTATTGAACAAGGGTGGCGTGGCTGCTTCATGCCACCGAGCCTAGCCTTGGCCAAGATCTTGAGATCGCCGCCAAAAAGCAGAATTGGTAAGGAACCTCATAGCATCGGTCCACTTGGAGCAAACTGCACCCATCTTCGCCTATGTTTTCAGCAAACAGGTGAAGAAAGGCCAAAGGGAATGTTGATTTTTCTTCCAGATCATCCATTCCACGTCAGAATTTGTGCGGCATCGGCATTGTTTTCAAGCAAAATCTAATCGCACAAGACGGCACAAGACCTGCACCTGTTATATAACCTTTGCCTGTTGCTTCTGCCAAGTTCGACTGATATATGTGTATATGCAAAAAATGATATTGTATAACTAACTATTATGTGACACTATAATGTGAAGCCACGGCAAGTAAAGCGTCTGCTACAAAAAGAGCATCGAAACAATTGACTTGTTTCATCTCTGCGGGGGCATCAACACTCCGTCATTAGAAATCATCATATACTTGCAAGCAAAAGGAGGCCCCTTCTGGCAACTGAGGTGCCTATCAGTGTAGTATCATGAAGGTACACCTGGGAGGTTTTCACCTTGTCGTGAAACAGCAGCCAGCCGTGATTGGCCGCAAACTCCTCAGCGTGGCACAGCACACATCTGCACGGCCTCCTACTGCAGTGGAGTGACAGATCGTGATCTGCACGGGCGACTCCCATCGTCTGAGGCCCGGGGCATTTCCCTGACGAAAATTGAGGCTCGAAGGATGTGGTGCACAACGTTCGCGCTGGCGGCTTACAAAAATATGGTACCTCAATGAAAAGCGTCCAAATGTCGTGTAGTGGGGAGTGTCTGTGTGTGTGTCATTGCTCCATGCACAAAGACAGCATAACACCACGAAATGAACAGGAGAACAGGTATTGCCACCGTGCGGCGTGCCACGCGCATTGCTTTGACGTTGCACTTGCGCCACGTTTGGAAAAAGCCCCGCACACATCACACATCGCCTCAGCTGGGCTTCATCGGGGCTCCAAAGTGGCGACAAGGTTCCAAGTTAGCCAAGGATCACCAGTGACAAATTTGATTGATGGACATTCACCTCAAGGGATAGCCAAAAAGCAAAAACAGATTTGCGATGTTTTGCAATGGTTTGCCTACCATGCCATCCTCTTGATGCACCTACACTTGAAGCAAAGTCCAATCTTTGGTTATCTGAGTCATGTGAGATATCGAATGATATCGATAGATATCGTACATGTCGCCTTTCGGTGTTTTTGTTTAACCAACCTACAGTACCTGGGCCCAACATATATACAGCTGCAGCACGCATCCACAAAGGCTTCCCTTCCCGGCAAAACCCAAGTGCACAAGTGCTTTCCACACGGTGCTGGCCTGATCGCCACCGTCCTCGCCAGCCTCGGCATCTGCGAAGCCCGTCTCGGCCAGGTGCCGGAGGAACTGCTGCCGCAGCTGGGCCTAAGGAATTCCAAACACTGGGCCATAGCATGGCTACGAACGTAACAAGCAGGTACTAGTAACCAGGCACCTTACTAATTACCTGGACTCCTGACCTTACTACTAGTAACAAGAAGCTACGAACGTAACAAGTGCATCGCTACGAACGTAACAAGTAAAGCGCAGCGTCCAACGAAGCAGGGGCCCTGGCAACGTCATCCAAGGTGGACGAGGACAGCCCAAAGCGATCACACACAGCCCACGCGTTTTCTCGGCCTTGTCGACGCTGCTCATGATACCTAGACGCTGCTGCGAAAACGGCTTTGTTTGTTTGGCGCTGGCCAACATCGCCTAGGAACAACAGAATCGATTGCAAGAAATGCCTTGGTGATACCTAAAAGAACTGAAATGGTAGCCTGCTAGATCGCAATGAGTCAAAGATGCTTGTCATACGCCTTTGCCGCAGCTAGCTGGTCGCTATGAAGCTCGCCCCAAACATTTCTCCGCTCTTGCACTTGTAGCTCCTCCACGGCTCGAAGACGCTACAAGAATCAAAAGGGCTGCCCTCTGGACAATACACAATAAGTACACCAGAACAGAACAGCGGATCACGGAAGAAGTTGGACAGTTGCAAGAAGTTGGACAAGGCGCCTCCTTCGTGCGGTTGAAGTTCCGTATGAAAGGAGACCTCCTAGGAGAAAATTGTTGCGGCATGAAACCCACAGGACGGGCAGGATTTGGGAAACTAAGGGATTCGTTTGGGGTGTGGCCCCCCAAAACCAATGGCCAAGGATGACAAGCAGTGGCCACTGCCTCACAGCCTCTCGGGGATCCTCCCGACCCAATAGCTACTGAATGTCAAGTTGCTGTGATAAGCATGCCGCAATGGTGAGGATAGGAGCCAAGCACTTGCAAAGGGATCCATACACCAGCATCTTTCCTGAAGAACACTGCCCCAACAATCCACTATGGTCCACTGGCATTTGCTCTTTCATTTTTGGAGAAGCACCAGTCATCCGCGTGTACATTCCCAACCTGCTATGATCGCATGACTCATGTCTATAATCCTCCATTTCGCACTGCATCATGACTATCGATCAATTTTTGAATCTGCAACTTAACCTGTCCTTGACACAATGCCGCCAAGCCACCAATGCGCGCGTCGACGGGCATATGTGCCAAATGGAATCCGAGTGGTGTCAAGCGCAGTTGGGAGTCATTCTCAAGCGCACCAATGGCCACCTGTGAAACGAGACGTCGGTATTCAGCAGTCCTCATCGGCAATGGTTCCGCTTTCGCAAGGGCATTCTACTAGGTGGGCAGGCCTGCTTCATAAGGAAGATCCCAGGGTGCACAACAACGTGATACCAATGGAACAACAATTCGGGGTGCGCATGTGTAGCCAGTGTGAGACAGGGACTAAATCATCTACTGGCAAGCTGCTAAAGCTCGAATGGCACGCTCCACCGCCTGCAACGAAGAAAATTCAATTGCCGCTTCACTCGGTGGAAAAAATATTTCTGCTGTATTATACTGTCACTGTATTAATTCAGTATTCACTCTGGCTTTTTAGCCTTGGACATGCCATGAATGTCAAAACGATGCGCCAACTGGCACATTGATTGGCCTATGGCCAAGAATTGCCGAATCCCGCACGTCACAGCTGGATGGTACAAGTACCGGCCAAATAAAATTGAACAACTACATCGCCTACAGGCCTGTCCAGTTCCTACTACTTTCTGACAAGGTTTGTGGATGGTCGCTCAGCGGTGCCTCTAACGCTGGTGGCTCAGGCGCACGCCGAAGGAAGTCGCCCGGATGGTCGCCCAGCTCCAATAACCGCAGCTGAAGTACCAACTCCTCAAGGTCCAGAAATCAAGGTAATAACACCACTGCCTCGCGGAGACCTTCAAGGTGGTATTATGATGTATTATGATTATTATGACCCTGACTTCGGACGACTGTCTGAAGCAGCGAGTGTGAAAGATCTTGGAAAGCGCCGAAGCAGGATCGAGGTGGTTGGTGACACATGCATTGTCAAGTGTATTCAATGAAGCGGTCCTCTAGCGGAGTGCGTTGCATCTCACACAACCTGAGGCAGCGTCCGCACAGCTTTGACCCAAGCAAGTCGTCTGCAACAAACCAACTGAGGTTATATACATGGTTACAGCACATGTGCCGCTGTTGACAGCTCTTGGCTTAGCACAGCACCGATGCAGACCAAAGACCCCACAAGCTTACACTTACCTGTGTGAAAGCAGCATGCAGGCTTTGGCCTCCACCCGTTTGAGTTTAAGGAGCGTGTGCTTGGGCAGCTCTTTCTCCATAAAGTCTTGCCGGCATAGTCTCCAGCAAACACCTGCAAATCTATCGGGCTTTCCAGGTTCAAAGCCAACGCCTTTCCTTTTGGGCCCTTTGGCCACCCAGCCCAACAAACGCCGTGATGTAGTGATGCTGTGGCTTTCACCGCCTGGCTACGTATTTCAGTGAGGCCTGGTCGTGTACGACCAGCTCGGCCAGCACGTTGCTTGGCAGCAGCTTGGCTGACCCAAACTGTAGAGAACCTGTGGGCCCAAGGGTGACAGCTAAAGACAAGTCGAAACATGTCGAAACAAGGATAGCCCTGACACAGCTATTGGATGCCTTAAGTTGTACGAATTTGCTATCTTGACGGTTTGTTGAGTTTAATATGCTACATTTCGTGGCTTTCCCGTACCTCTTTGTTTTGGCCAAAGCTGGCAGCAAACTAGCAGCCCAGGCACACACTGGTCGAGCTCTGAGGGGAGAAGCGCGTTTCCTTGACGTGGCATGAATCGATGACGTGCGTCACATCATCGATGGTGATGGAGGTTTCTGCCTTAGAGGGATTCCATCAACCAGTGGAGCATCAGTGCCATGAGTGGCTTATTAGCTTGTGGAGACTAATCCATCCATACCTTCCAAATGACCGGTAGCTCAATAGTGGCTCTATGAGGTCTTTCGCATGTCTGACTTTGGTGGTCATCTCTGCATGTTTGCTCATGAGCTGATCGCTCAACTGGGGTCCCAGCAATGTTAGTAGAGACCTAACAGCTGTCTGTAGCAGATCTCTGTATATCACACTGGGCTTGGGTTGGCCAATGAAAAAGAGCCAAGTATCCGAAGACTCTTTTTAGCCAACATTGTGGCTCAAGCCGTGGTATAAGCAAACGATGGCAAACGTGTAGGACAGTCTTCACCACGCTTGCCGCACTCCCCAGCTGCAGGGACGTCTACAGCTTTGGTACACAAACTTGAGCTATGTACAGGACTCATACACTCCTCCACGTCTCTCATGTCAGCCCCAAGTGTCACAAATATAGAGCTGAGATCCTTGCTTGGCAGCCCAAATATCAGTAACATTCAGTAACTATCTGCACTTCTAGCGTCAGCTGACCAACAATACTGTTGCCTCTACAAATGACTAATGACTAATGACTAATGCCATGCTGCGCTGCATGGCACGCAGCCTGCTTGTAGCCGCTTCTTTAGCGATGCCATTCTGCTCCAAGACCTCCACGAAAGCATCAAAGACTTGTGAAGGCATCGGGTGTGAGCGGCCACATACAAAAATCATCGCCCCCGCGTCCTGCAGGAGAGGCTGTTCTGAACGGGTAGTTGGAGCATCAAGTCATAGCGATTTCGCACATATGTGTTTGCATGCATAAGGTCCGTGCAGCCCTTTGACACTGGCCTATACAAAGTCTTTGCGGGTGTGAAATTGAACCCCGGGTCCAGCAGTCTGCACACATGTCGCCCTTGCTCTTCAATCAGGTCCTGCACATAGACCTCGAGCTCTGTCCAAATCATTTCCAGATCATGTCGAAGAAGCGTGCCTTTAAATATCAAATTACAGTAATTAAAGACATTGTATTGCGACCTTCAGAACTTGCAGAATTCCATCCATACAAATCAACTCACTAGCACAGTGACACAGATAGCCCCAAAAAGTAATGAAAAACATGCCCCTGGTGCGAAAGCATTCGCGCAAACAAAGAATCACATAGTGTTGGTACGTATGTTGATTTGAAATTCAATCTGCACAAAGCTCACTTTCGGCCTTCTTGTCCTCGTGGTCACGAGAGAATGCCACATGCACAGATAGCCAGGTCTTGAAGTTTGACCATTCATGTCCATATAGGAAGTCGCCATCCTGGTGACGAAAGCCCAGGAACATCAGGTCCTGGACCGACACAGTCAGCTGCTTGAGGTGCGAGAGGCAGCTAGTGTGTGAACGGGACACCATCAGAAAAAAATCAACCATACAACACATCTTGAATTCTCGGAATCCTTGACTATGACCTCATGCATTCAACAGCTTCAGTTCCCAGCGAACCTGAAGACCTTTGTGAAAACGAGCTGGAGGAGATTTGGCGCCCATCAGCTGCTTGTGCCTCAAGAGCCCAGGGGAGACCCAATTGCGGACTGAGCGGTGACAGCTTCTGGTCTCATGGCCCCGCCTCTCTTGCACAAGTGCCCGGCAGGGAGACAGCCCGGTCCCAGGGCAAATCAAGATCAACGGCACCTCTTTGGGCCGTGTATCCAAACAGCCGATCAACAGCCGTTTATCAAAAGCAAAGCTTGTCCGGAACAGTGGGAGAGAGTCAGTAAGTCATCGGTAGTAGGAAAGGTCTCGCTCATTTCCTGCCTCCAAAGGTGGTAATTGTAGAGTACCTTTCTCCAGGCTGCACTGAAGCCGGGAACCTACGGCAGCATCTTTCAGAAAATTGCTGCCTTGGACGCAGGCGGATGTGGCTCAGTCTACAGGCACTTGTGCTGTGTGAAGTGACCACTGGCAGAACACCCCTTTCCACCATATAATATCCACTGGTGCACAACGCCTGGGGATTGGTTTCAGACAAGGCACACAGGCCTTTGACCTCTCGGTTGCTGCGAGTCACAGAATTGACAATGCCAACACAAAGGTCCTGAGCTGCGTGGTGGGGGAGACTCTAGGCTTATGATGTACCTTACAGCCTAACTCTGAAATCTCAAGGATTCATAAAAGGGCAAAAAAATGCAAAACCGCACTCAGAAATGATGACTAGGAAATGCAAAAAACAGGCATGAAAAAGGCAAGAAAAAGGCAGCTGGTCAAAAAGAGTGCGTATAAAAAAAGCAAAAAAATTGCAAAAGGAAACCAAAACAAAAAGCAAACAAAACGTAAAACAAAAGCGAACAAAACGCACAAAAAATGCACATGCACAACCAAATTTCACACACCACCTTTTTTTGTGCGATGTGTTTCGATGTTTGTGCGTTTTATGTGCGATTTTTTGCATTTTGGTTCATTTGTTGTGCGTTTTTTGTGCGATTGTTTTGCGAGTTGTTTGCGTTTTCTCAAGGAAACGCTCAAAAAATGCAAAACAAAATCGGAAAACAAAAACTCAAATACAAAGCAAAACAAAATGCAAAGGCAAAGACCAGAACGTTTTTGATCGCATTTGTTTTGCTTTTTGATTGCATTTGTTTTGCATATTTTTTGCATTTATTTTCATTTTGTGTGCCTTTTTTGTGCATGTGTTTTGCATTGTTTGTGCGTTGTTTTTGCATTTGTTTGGTGGACAAATGCGTGTTTTTTCACTTTTTTTCCGTTTTTTGCATTCCAAGGCATCCTTTGATGACGTGTTTTTGCGTTTTCTGTGCATTTTTTTCGGGATTGGTTTTGCTTTATTTTTGCATTGTTTATGCATTCTTTATGTTTTGCTATGTCATCAGAACTAGCTTTAGCGTACATCATAACTCTAGGCATGACACAGCATGACGCATGGAGTTGCTCCATCCAGACTTAAGTCTTCAGCAGCATGCAGTGTTTGCCCGGAGTGAAGTCTGAAAAGCCGACCAAGTGTCCAAATCTTGTGACAAACCATCTGGCGCAAGATCTGCCCAAATGTCTGCCATGATTCGTTTCAGGCAGCTTGCTGGAGGCTCCTGTAACTTAAAGGTTGGGCACACTTGAATAACTGAAGGTGGCCAAGACATGTTCTGCACACGGTCTGCACCTGCCACCAAAAGGGTCTGGACAGCAAAGACCAGGCTCCAGTAAAACGGCCGAAGCCCGCCCACCTTGGCGAACTGGAGTGCCAACTCTGACCGGTGGATACCGGTGATGTTTCAGGCGGGCTCCGCGGTGTGCCCATTGGCTTCGGGATCCCAAACACGTTCATTCTCCTCAGGTTATAGATAGTACAGCCCCCCAACAAACCAAACGGCCTCAGTGGGTTCCAATAGTTCACCAAGAGACCCCGGACAGGAAGCAATGGAGTAGCGGCGAGGTCGCAGCAATGGCAAGGCACTGATTAGTGCATTTAGAGGAGGCCGTGCCGTCCAAAAGTCCCACATGACCTATTCGTGCGCGAGTCCGTTAACCTATTCGAGGCCGAAGTTGTAGATGCTCTATGATGCTCTTACTTCGAGGGCTTCAACTTGCAGAACGATGATAAGCTGCAAACAGCTCTTGCAAGTCCATCCGGCGTTTGTTGGACTTTCAAGGCTCTTTAGATTGTTTAACTTGTCAAGCTAGGTCGTTCCTAGCCTCCGCAGCGGATCGACGTTCTCTTTTGCAGTACCTCGGCGGAACTCAGCTGAGCTTTGGAGCCCCCTTTTGGAAGGGCAGGTGGGAATTCCAAGGTGATCAATCATTCAAAAAGACTGCCAGGAGCACAAAAGGCTGACCTTGATCACCTACAAGTGTATAATACTACTCATTCACCCAAGGTGCTCGTATAAGGCGTCTTTGGCCTCTAAAGTACGTGATGCAAACTCACCTGAGTTCAGGAAGTCGCCAAATTTGACCATGCGACTCGCACTGTGAGAAGGCCAAAGCATGTGCCGTCATACATTGACATGGCAGCGTACATGACATATAGATACATATAGTGCCAGAACCTGCTGCCACGATGCTAAGTTTCTTTTTGTGCAGCTCGTCTGAGGTGTAGAGCGAGAGCCTCTCAGACGCTGTCGGGCAGCTCACAATTTCCGGCACAATCTGCACTCTGCTGTTCTATTCTCCTAATAGCAAATCTATATCTATCTGTTAAACACACACATATATATATAAAGACTTCGGTCTGCCCGCTCAGTTTTTTAGCTTTGCAAGGTCGGG